GCCGGTTGAGCTATAGGCGCCAAGCCTATTTATTATTTATTTTAAAAAAATTTTTTTTGAGTCAGAGTCTTGGCTGTCTCCCTGGCTAGAGTGTAGTTGTGTGATCATAGCTCACTATAGCCTCCAATTCCTGGGCTCAAGCAATTGTCTTGCCTCAGCCTCCTGAGTAGCTAGGGCTCCAGATGCATGCTACCATGCTCAGTTAACTTTATCATATTTTTGTAGAGATGAGGTCTTGCTATGTTGCCTAGGATGGCCTCAAGTGATCCTCCTACCTTAGCCTCCCAAAGTGCTATAGTTACTGGTGTGAGCCATTGCATTCAGCCTACTGTTTTTCTTTGAAACAGAGTCTCACTTTGTCATGGAATCATAGCTCACATAAACCTCAAACTCGTGGGCTTAAGCAATTCTCTTGCCTCAGCCAGTCCGAAGTAGCTGGGACTACAAGAGCCCACCACAATGCCCAGCTATTTTTAGAGATAAGTTCTCCATCTTGCTCAGGCTGGTCTCAAACCAGTGAGCTCAGGGAATCCACCCACCTCAGCCTTCGAGAGTGCTTGGGTTATAGGCATGAGCCACCACGCCTGGCCTCTAGTCTTTTATTTTATTTATTTATTTATTTTTTATGCCACCCTTGGTAGAGTGCTGTTCTGTCACTGCTCACAGCAACCTCAAACTTTTGGGCTTAAGCGACTCTCTTGCCTCAGCCTCCCCAGTAGCTGGAACCATAGGCACCCCCCACAACACCCAGCCACTTTTGTTGTTGTCATTCATTGTTATCCCAGCTAGCCTGGGCTGGGTTCAAACTTGCCAGGCTTGGTGTATGTGGCTGGTGCCCTACCCATTGAGCTATGGGCACTGCCAGCCTATTATTATTATTTTACTTATTTATATATATATATTTTCTGGCCAGGGTTGGGCTTGAACCCCCACCTCCGACATATGGGACCGGGGCCCTACCCTTTTGAGCCACAGTTGCCGCCCTTTATTTTTTTTTTTTTGAGACAAAATCTCATTTTGTCCCCCTCAGTAGAATGCTATGGCATCACAGCTCACAGCAACCTCTAGCTCTTGGGCTTAGACAATTCTCTTGCCTTACCCTCCCCAGCCTATTATTTTTTTAAAAAGAAAACTTTTTTATAGCTCTTCCAACTTTTATTTTCAAACCCAACCCAACTGTTATTCTAAGATTTGAGGTGTATGTGTGTCCAACAGCCTTCTTAGCCACCCTAACCACTGCCTCTTCATCTGTGAAGTTTAGTTGTTAGGGCCAACAGAACAGCAGTCCCATTATACATAGGAATTAGGCCTTAAAACACTTCTACAGTGATTATCTTCCTGATAAGCTAACTGTTTGAAAATTAAATAAGATGTTTTATATCTTTGGCAACATTTCTGCCTGTTCTTTTGACTATAAAGCCTAGATCTACTGTAAAGTCAAAAGTAAGAAACATTTGCTTTTCCCTTCTAAGAGTTCTGAAGGACAGTATACCTGTATATATGTTTTCACATTATCTTTAACCAAATAACACCACCAGAAAACAAAAGTATGAGGCTAAAGGCTAGGCCTGAAACAGCATAAATGTCAACTCATACTAGATACATGCATACCCAGAAATGAGAAAGCTAAGCAGCTGAAAATGTCAGGCACCTTTTATCTCCTTAAATATACAGAAAAAAGGAAATGAGGCAAAAAGCCCTTATTTCTTTTAAAGTACCAATGTGCAAGTACTTAATATAACTAAAATTTGATTGAGTACATATACATTCTCCCCCACCCCGTGAAATAAAAGACAATGAAGTCTTTATTTTACATTTTCCAATTGGGTGATTATCAGAATTAATAACAGCAACACAAGGAATACTCACTCCAAGTTTACCAAGGCGAATACCCCACTGGGCATCAGTACTGAGTTCACGGAACTTAAGCTCCATTTCTATTTCCTTATAGAGACTGGCTAGCTGAGAACCTACCAGAGATATTGCCTTAAAAAGTAAAACAGAATTAACAATTGCAAATAGAATAAGTTCTTCCGATACCTTTTAGATGAAACCCAACAATAAAAATCATAACCTTTCTTTGCGATAACAGTGTAGAGTGTTACGCGTTGCTTTGTACACTGCCATTACTTCTTATACAGTATTTAGGTATTTCAGCTTTTTGTATGATATCATAAATTTAGTCTGGCTTGCCTTTATAATAAAAGGTCAAAGTTTAGTTATCTTGCAAGCAAAATCTCCATAAAAGGTTTTTTTTTTGAAACAGAGTCTCACTTTGTCACCCTTAGTAGAGTGACATCATAGTTCACAGCATTCTCAAATTCATGCACTTAAGCGATCCTCTTGCCTCAGCCTCCCAAGTAGCTGGGACTACAGGTGCCTGCCACAATGCCTGGCTATTTTTAGATACAAGGTCTTGCTCTGGCTCAGGCTGGTCTCGAACCTGTGAGCTTAGGCAATCCACTCGCCTCAGCTTCTCAGCATAAAAGGTAAGTTTTAAAACAAACAACATTCAAGGGAAGTTTTCTATCTGTTAAACTTATCCTATAAAAAATAAATGACTCAGGGTCTAGGATTTCAAATATATCACAGGTGAAGTTCCAAGGCTATATACAGATTTTCTCTTCTTTCCTTCCTGGCTAGGATTTGAACCTATGCATGCAGACTTTCAGAAATAAAAGACGTCGTACTTCTTTGGGTTGAGCAATGCTTATGACTTGCATATATATTCACCAGTATGTCACGGGTTAAGCAAAAGCTGATAGAAAGCATGTGAGTTCACTCAACGTTTCTTCCACTAAATCTTTAAAACCTGGTGGCAAAGCCAACTTCATTTCTCCTCCAAATCTTTAATACTTCAAGAAACTGAAGATGTGCTTCCTTATGGCTTACCAGAATTTTGTCATAATTCTGCCATGCTTTATCTATGAGCTTCCAGAGATTTTCAAACACATCTTTTTCGGGTAAGAAAGTGCAGTAACCCAATGCCAGGTCAAGATCCACCAGGCGACAATTAAATACCTATGGGAAGAAAACATCAAAAGAAGCAAATTCTTCACAATCACAACAGAATTAAGTGTCTGAAGGCTTATTGATCACTAAATTGAATTATAGACACTATGAAAAAACAAGTGTTTCATGAAAAGTTATTTATAGTAACACAGTTACAATGTGTTTGCTTATGTTTAATGACCTTATCAGAAATTAAAGGAAGCAGGAAGTAGAACAAGTTCTACTTTTTGCATGCCTCTTTTACCCTTTCCTTTCACATCTCCAGCATCCCCTTCCTGTATTCATTCTTAGCCAATGATCTCACATTCTGCTTCACTGAGAAATCAGAAGCAACCAGAATTCATCTGCCTCATCCTCCCACCACCAAAACTACCAGCTTCCCTTTTAGTCAGTCACCAACTATTCCTGCCTACCCGAGGCCAACCCTCCTTGCATCTCTGGACCCCATTCACTCTTATCTACTTAAAAGTCTCACTCCTGCCAAAGTCCATTCTCTCTATCACTAGTTTTTCCTCTCTTGTGGCTCAGTACTCTCAGAAGGAAATCACTCAATTCTTGTTGCCCCTACCATATTTCTCTGCTCCCCTTTATAGAAAACCACTGTAGAAGATTCTCCCTTGCAAAGCTCTCAGCCCCATATGTTGGAGGTGGCGGGTTCAAACCCAGCCCCAGCCAAAAACAGCAAAAAAAAAAAAAAAAAAGCTCTCAACCCCAGCACTCCACCAGCTGTTCTCACAGTTTGGGTACAGTCAATCCCCCACTCCATAAAACATTCCACATTAAACTTCAGAGAGTCCAATCTCTCTTGGTTGTTCTTCGTTTTCACTGGCTGTTTCTTCATATTTCTTCTACTGGATTCCCCTCCTGTTCCTGACCTCTACTGTGACCTAGATTGAAGATTTAACTCTCTTTTATCAAATAGGTTTAACCACATGAGATTGCTGATATCTGAGCTTTTAACTTATAAAAACAACCATTTCATATGATTGTTTAATATTCAACTTAGGGCCTGGTGGCTCATGCCTGTAATCCTAGCACTCTGGGAGGCAGAGTTGGATGGATTGCTTGAGCTCATGAGTTCAAGACCAGCCTGAGCAAAAGCAAGACCCTGTCTCTACTAAAAATAGAAAAACTGACATAAGAAGATCACTTGAGCTTAGAGGATGCTGTGAGCTACGACACCACAGCACTCTACCCAGGGCAGCAGCTTGAGACTCTGTCTCAACAAACAAACAAACAAACAAACAAACAAACAAAAAAATTTCAACTTAATACAAGCTTTTTTTCATACCTAAGACTATAAAAAGCACATTTAGGCTTGGCGCCTATAGCACAGTGGTTACAGTACCAGACACATACACTGAAGTTAGCAGTTCAAACCCAGACTGGGCCAGCTTAAAACAACTACAACAGAAAATAGCTGGGCGTCGTGGCAGAGGCCTATAGTCCCAGCTACTTGGGAGGCTGAGGCAAGAGAATTGCTTAAACCTAAGAGTTTGAGGTTGCTGTGAGCTGTGATGCCATGGCACTCTACTGAGGACAACGCAGTGGGACTCTGACTCAAAAAAAAAAAAAAACCCACAAGAGTACATTTATTCCTCCTTCCTAACAGGTGACAAAGAAAAAAATATTTAAACATTTATAAAGAAAGCATCATTGGGCTCAGCGCCTGTGGCTCAAGTGGCTAAAGCACTAGCCACGTACACCCAAGATGGCGGGTTCAAATCCAGCCTGGGCCCACTGAACAACAATGACGGCTGAAAACAAAAAATAGCTGGGCATTGTGGCGGGTGCCTGTGGTCCCAGCTACTTGGGAGGCGGAGGCAGGAGACTTGCTTGAGCCCAGGAGTTGGAGGTTGCTGGAGGTTGCTGTGAGCTGTAATGCCACGGCACTCTACCCAGGGGGAGAGCTTGAGGCTCTGTCTCAAAAAAAAAAAAAAAAAAAAAAAGAAAGCACTTTTGCCATGATGACCCTCAAGTTTAAATCTTTCCCAAGCTCAACATCTGTGACTTCAATACAAATTCCCAGTTGAAAGTCAGAGTCCAAAAAGACCTCAAATATAAAATACTAAAAATTGAACCCTTTCTTGATTTTCTCCTATAGATCTGTTTCTGTAACAACTCTCCGGCTTCAGAAAATGGCACTATTACCGAAACAACTGATAAGGCTGAAAACCTACGTGTTAGTCTTAAATCTCCTTACAAAACAGATCCAATCTCTTCTTGCCACCCTCTTTAACATTCAGACCCAGCTATCATCATCCTTTTCTGTAAGCATACAAGCAAATGATGAAGTAACAAGGGTGTACCAGAGCTTTTTACTGTTCTTAAAAATTTTCTGAAACTTTGAAATTACTTTCGTTTTTAAAAATGTAATCTGACAAATGGAAACAAAATGCCCAATGTAAACATATTTTTTCACCAAAAAGTACATTATAACTTTCACAAAAATAAAGGCTAATGTAAAATTAGGATTTCTGGCAAAGAAATAAATTATAGCTAGAATCTTTATAATGCTTTTTTTCTTTTCTGAGATGGATTCTCACTCTGTCGCGCTGTATAGTCAGTTCACAGCAACCTCAAACTCCCAGGTTCAAGTGATTCTCTTGCCCCAGCCCCCAAGTAGATGGAATTACAGGTACCGGCCACCACATCTGGCGAATTTTTTCTATTTTTTTAAACATTTTATTTATTTTTTGAGACTATCTCATTTTGTCATGTAGAGTGCCAAGGCATCATAGCACACAGCAACTTCAAACTCCTGGGCTCAAATGATCCTCTTGCCTCAGCCTCCCATGTAGCTGGGACTGCAGATGCCCACCACAAAGCCTAGCTACTTTTTTAGAGATAGGATCTCAGTCTTCTTGCTCAGGCTGGTCTTAAACTCCTGAGCTCAAACAATCCACCCACCTCACAGTGCTAGAATTAGAAGCATGACTCACCATGCCTGGCCCTTATAACGCTTTAATTCATAAGTAACTAAAATCAGGGGACAAAAGTAGGAAAGCTTGGCTCAGCGCCTGGGCCTGCTAAACAAGGACAACTGCAATAAAAAAATAGCTGGGTGTTGTGGCAGGTGCCTGTAGTCCCAGCTACTTGGGAGGCAAGAGAATCTCGTATGTCCAAGAGTTTGAGGTTGCTGTGAGCTGTGATGCCATAGCACTCTACCAAGGACAACATAGTGAGCCTCTGTTTCAAAAAAAAAAAAAAAAAACCCAAAAAACAAAAAAGTGGGAAAGATTGACTACCATTTCATAAATGGTCAATAGAATGTCAATTACCATAATAAAAACCCCACCACTATGATTAGGTGTGATAGAAGTCCCTGATGCTTTTGAAGAGTAAAATAGTACTGTATGGAACCATAAACTACTAATTCATATGCACTGTAGTCCAAGGTAAAAGGCAAAAAAAAAAAAAAAGATTTTATGGAGAAACCTAGAAAAAATACTTACTTTGTGTAGTAGTGTTGTAGCATTTTCCCTGATAAACATAACTGCTTTTTCTTTCAATTCCATAACAATATTCCTCGATTTAAATAATGCAGTCTCTCCAAATAACTGTCAGAGAAGAACAAAAGAATCTTTAGGTCTATGTATATGTATCGTTCAGAAAACTCATTTCAAATATTATGGAACTTTGAAAATTGAACATTATGTGCATAAAGTATTAGGATTAATCTATAACTAGAAACCTAGAGCTTGGGGGTAGGGGAGTCCCAAATAAGGGGCAAAACAAACTTTAAAAAATACTCTATATCCTGATTACAATATTGGTGACAAGGTGAATACATTGGTTGATACACTTAACACTGTACATTTTAAGGTTTTTTTTTGTTTGTTTGTTTTGAAACAGAGTCTCACTGTGTCATCCTTGTTAGAGTGCTATGGTGTCACAGCTCACAGCAACCTCAAACTCTTGGGCTTAAGCAATTCTCTTGCCTCAGTCTCCTGAGTATCTGGGACTATAGGTGCCTGCCACAATGCCCAGCTATTTTTTGCTTGTAGTTGTCATTGTTGTTAGCAAGCTTGGGCTGGGCTCAAACCTGCCAGTTGGTGTATAAGACTGGTGCCCTTACTCACTGAGCTATGGATGCTGTACATCTTAAGTTTGAAAGCTTTAACTCAATAAAGTTGATTATAATCAGCTTTTAAGTAAATATCAACAGAATAGCAGAAATGAAGATAATTCCCTGTGAAACCCAACTTCATAAGTAAGATATCAACTGGTAGTTTGTCTTTTAGAGGCTCTTCAATGATGCTATCAGAGAATAATTATAACAATTTAGACAATAACAAAACAATCAGCAGGTGGAGCCTATAGCTCAGTGGGTAGGGTGCGGGCCACATATACTGAGGTTGGTGGGTT